TCGGCAAGAACACCAAGTGATAATGAGCCAAGGGAAAGGAAGAAAGCTTCAACGACAAGATTTCATGATCTTTTTTCTATTTTTTATTCACCTTTTCCCCAATAAGTCTAGCATAGGCACCTTTCTATTCTGTTTAGATTTATTTTGTAGGATCATTATTTCTTTTCCTTAAATAAAATGAGCATTTTATTCTCTTACATATGATCATCACATTGCATTGCATAAAAAAAAAATCCATGTCTAACTAAGCACAAGGTATACCAATGATTTGAGGCACCTCTTGTAGCCACATCATATCACATTTCACCCTTCAAATATTCAATCCTATATTTTTTTTATAATAAACCACTTTGAGACTTGTCTAATGACAGACCTTTCATTTTTCAACCCATATCTACCTAATCTTGGGATAGGATAGTGTGCAACTTATGCAATTTTCAATATCATAAAAAGCTTGAGTGACTTCAAAAGATTGAAATAGCAAAAAAATAAGCAAAAAAATAATAATAAAAGTGTACAAAAGGGAAAGTGTTCCTATGTCTTTGACATAAACATGTCTTTGATATGAATACGTCTCAGATTGCGTCTCTTATCGAGTGCTCGGTACCGTGCCTGAGAAACATGAATGCCAAGTGAGTGATAGACCGCATGATTGGGATTGCCCACACTTATAAAAATGAAATAAATGCTAAAGCAAAAGAAAGAGCTAAAACTGAGTAGAAAACCACAAGCAAGAAAATCCCCTTCTTCTATAACCTTTAGCCTAACCACTTACAACCTTTAAAAAGACCTTTTTCAGGTATACACATACTTGTGCAAGGTTCGTCTAGAGCTACGTTCGGCCTGATTCCTAACGGACACGTAGGCAACCTCACATCGAGGTGCGGCCGTAATAAAAATGCATTCAGATTCAAATTCACACACTTACACCATGATCATATGAAGGGATCTCCTACGCTCATTCCTATCCATGTAGAGCTAGACTTGGGGGCTTAATCCCTACATCATTAGCTTACCTAGCCTAAGAGACACCACCATTTGACTCTTTTAACAAATAATATCTTTCCACATACTTAGCCCTTGCGGCCTAACTTTAGTGTCACTTTCACACACTGCACAAATACATGAACAAATATACTTTCCCTTAGGAACCCTTTGTCATGAAATCTTAACACAACGTTGAAGCATGTATTGTCATATCAAAATCACTCATCAATCATAATCATCATTGCATCACAAAGTATGAAGTTCTTAGCCTCCATGCCTAAGTTACCTAAATAATTTCATTATCGAGTCAACTAGGATAGTTTAAGATGTTACAATCCTTGTACTGTGAGAGACAACGTTAACGGATTAAGCTTATTCAACATGCACCTTCAAAAACATCGCTTCTTTCTTTTTCGCGTCTTTCTTTTTCGGGAGAAAGTCGGTAACCTCCACAAAAACGACCGAAATTTTTTGTTTACATTGCACACACGGATCATGAGTCACACGTGTCATTTCACTTTGAGTCAAGTCAACCTCGAGCCAATCACAACAAGTCAAGTGATCAACCTGATGAAAGATCGTCTCACTTAGATTAAAGCACCTAAGCATTGGCTCATCGTAGAGACACGGACATACTAGTTCATAAACAGCAGAGACAGTAACATACTGATTCATAAACAGCAGAGGCACCGACATAATGGTTCACAAGCATCAAAAGCACCGACGTACTGGCATAGCGGAAGCAAAGTTCAAGCCGAGCTTTAAAAATCGACAAGCGTTGGTCTTCAGAAGTTTACTTCAGAATATTATCGCAACAAACATTCAAGTATTGAAGCTCTTTTGTTCAGAGACGCGTAGACATTTCTTTTAAGCTCTTTTGTTCAGAGACGCGTGGACACTTCTTTCAAGCTCTTTTGTTCAGTGACGTGTGGACATTTCTTTTAAGCTCTTTTGCTCAGAGATGCGTGGGCATCCTATTATCAAGCTCTTTTGCTCAAGAGACGCGTGGGCATATTATTCAAAAGCTCTATTGTTCAGAGACGCGTAAACATATCATCAAAGCTCTTTGTTTAGAGACGCGTGGACATATCATTCAAAAGCTATTTGTTCAAAGACGTGTGGACATATCATCAAGCTCTTTTTCTCCAGAGACGCGTGGGCATATCATTCAAAAGCTCTTTGTTCAGAGACGCGTGGACATCTCATCAAGTTCTTTTGCTCTAGAGACGCGTGGGCATATCATGCAAAAGTTCTTTGTTCAGAGACGTGTGAACATATCCAAAAGGATCTGTTGTCAGAGATGAGTGAACATCAAAACAACAAGATGACGTTCCCTAGATTGTGGAAGGTTGTCACAAACAACAGCAAACAGCAACAAATCGGTTAGACGTGTGCTCGACGGTGCAAGATACGCGTTTCTTAACTCTCTTATTTATTTAACTAATGCTAGTTTGCAGGTATCGGCGTTACAAGAGTGATTTAGGATCGCAGAACGTTCTAAATCATTCTCCGTCCCTATCGATAATTCGACTTTTGTTTTCAAAACTTGCGTTTCTCCAAACTCAGTCAAAGTGGGGGCTTCTGTAGACACCCAAATGTGTCTCCCCAAAACCAAACCCAGTGATGAGTACCTTTCATGTCATTTTATTTTCGAACAAAGAGAAAGTGTTAAAAGTCTAGTGATGAGAATGTTTTTATTAAAATATCTATTCTTTCTGTTTTTGAAAATATTTCTTTTCTTACCATATTTTTGAAAAACGTGCATTCTAGTTTAGTTTGGTCCATTTTATGGGTCCAATAGTAATGTAGTTGAATGGGGTTTGAAAAGACCTTTCCACCGATATATTATAAGCCCAATTTTGATGAATATTGAGGAAGTTATGGCCAAATTACTGAACTGGCCCGGCTTGAGCCTTATATGCAGCCGAATGATCTAGAGGAGGGCCAAATATAGATTTATCATTCCTAATGCAATTAGGAATGGTTTTAGTCTTCTAGATTCTTCTAGAAGCTTATTTTCATTCTTAATTCAATTAGCATTGATAAATTGACGCCAGCATTAGCGCCTGACGCTAAGCTTGGTGCCTGGCGCTAGCGTTAGCGCCTGGCGCTAACGTCAGCGCCTGGCCCTAACGTCAGCGTCTGGCGCTAACCTCGTTTTACGCGTCAGAACTCTGTTTTGATTTTTTATCTTTTTGGTTGATTTTCTCTATAAATAGCCTTCTAAAAACCTCGTTTTCATTCACAAATTCTCATCAAGATTCTCTTGATTACTCTCTCTCTCTTTTCTAAACTAGCCTTCTCTCAAATAAAAAATTCCACATTAGCAAGACTTAGATACACCGAGATATATTCGAAGTTGCCTTCGCTCTAGACGTGAAAGGTTTAATTTTTGAGGGTTTAGTCCCAAATCCGTCTTTCAATCTTTTAATTTAATTGTTTTGTTTTATTAGGTTTTTTGAAGTTACTAACGTGTGTATTTTGTTATTAGAAAGAGGTACGAGGCATCCAAGTAAGTACTTTAATGGTTTAATTGATATTATGAACTAGAAATCATGCTTAGATTGTTATTTTGATTATTAGTATCATGTTAGGATGTTTTCCTTAATTTGATGTTTAGGGTGACAACAATAAATTTATTGGTATCATGTCTAGAGTAACTTTAATATTAAGTATGATTAAAAGTATGATGCCTTTTATGTTATTCCTAATATTTATGATTGTTAGCATCATGTTAGGGTTAAAGCTTTGATTTTTATATGCTTAGTGACATGCTAGGCTTTGCTATTAATCTTGTTAGTATCATGCCTAGGATCTTGCTATTATTATGCTTTAACATGATTATTTTAATTAGAATTTCAATTATGATTATAATTATTTTTTATTATTATTATGTTGCTTGATATTTATATTTATTGTTATTGCTTGATCACACCTTTTATGCATGCTTAAAGGGAATTTGTACTTGTAATCACTTTTAATAAGATAATTAATAATCTTGTTAGGGTTAATTTTACTATAATTCAAGTGATCGCCAATAATAGATTTGTTTGGGCATTAAATTCAACCAACATAGATAAAACAAGTTTAGGGTTAATCCTATTGATTGCATGTTAGTCAGAAAGCGCACATGAGTACGATTAGAATAAAGTAGAGGCCTATTATTAGGGCAGGTTCAATCTCTTTTAGGTTGGATTTGTACCTTCATCCCCAAACTACCAGTCATGGTTTAAGACCTATTGGAGTTGACAATCTCTTGGATCGTTAAGGGGTGTAACCTTCACCTCGTGAACGGTTTATAAGTTCCTAAACATGTTGGCGACTCTTTTGGTCTATCTTCTTTCCCTTTGGACGCCACCGTACTTTAGTGTATGATCACATTGGGGTTCAAAATAGGGATAATGCTTGAAATATTCCCTACACTTGGCCTATGCTGACTTTTTGCCGCATTGCGAGACTCTTGTCGACACCGGTCTTACGTAGAAGACATCGCTTTTTCTTGCTTCTGGAGAGTCGTAGTGGTATACTTTGTTTCCTACAAGGTTAGCTCTAAGCTCTTGTTAGCACTTGCTGATATCTTTTATTTTTTGTAGATTTGGTTCTACGAGTACTTCCCGTCACTTGCGCCGACGAGGCCATCTCCACGCGAGTTCCCTGTTGGCGCCTGTTAGGAAGGCCGCTACAATAACCGGGTGACTACTGCACGTGTTCGAGAGCTGATCCTCTCGGTACGGTTTTTGCATAGTTATCGTCTTTATATTGCTTTTAGTAAATCCTTATCTCATAGGCGTTCTTTGCAAGTGCCTGAGGTGCTATACCGGCTAGAGGTAGGGATGGCAATGGGTCGGATCTGGACCGGGTCCAGAAGGAACCGGATCCAGATCCGTTTTTCAACTTTGGATCCAGATCCGCCCTGGATCCGTCGGGTCCATAAAATGAGGACCCAGATCCAGATCCGACGGATCCGGGTCCAAAACGGGTCTCGCACGTTTTGCCTACTTTTTTCAGGCAAATTTAATAAAAACGCATTTCAACCAAGTTCAATGCATAAATTAGAGTTATACAACTAAAAATACAATGTAACACATATTATACATATTGTCTTTGAAAAAAAAATCCAAACATAAAAAAAAGTACAATGTTACAAATGACCAAACAAAAAAAAAATAACAATGATGTATCCGATTTGAGCATCCAATATCCATATTCCGAAAGGACTAATCTTCATCACTACTAATATCATCAACATCCTAAAATAAAGAAACAAAACAAACAAAGAAAAGAAATAGTAATTGGCAAAAACTATATTATACTTCGTATCAATCATATGTCTTAATATTAATTAATAATAATTTATAAACCTTACCATATCAATTATATCCACCTCTTCTATATCATTATCATTATCATCCTCCCCATCTTCGGTTATAGTTGAACATGAAAGTGATCCTTCAAAAGAGCCCATCATAATAAAATAAAATAAAATAATTCTATTAAAAAAAATCAGAAATAAAATTAACTTAGAATTGTAATGTACTAAAAAGCAAGAATTGATAATACGTGCTAATTATGTAGCTTAGAATTGTAATGTGCAACCAAATGAATTCTAAATACTACAGTACTATGTTCCATTATTATTAACTTATATTTTAGGAAGTAATAAAGGTTTAATCATGAAACTAATTGCTAATAAGTAACTATGCAGTTCCTAATCGACCTCACAGTAGTAGATTACAAATAAATCAAACAAATAAACACACAAAATTGCATAAATTACACAAAATTGCAGCATAAGTAAAACACACAAATTGGCAGCAAAAACATTCACAAATAGCCCACGAAATTTCAGCATATAAAGTACTACTTTAGAATTTCATGAAATGCAAATAAAGTACTACTTTAGAATTTCAGCATATAAACATTAACAAATAGCCCACGAAATGCAAATAAACCCACAACTCCACAAGGCCACGAATTTCATCAACATCACAATTCACAAATAAACCCACTAATTTCATCAACAACACAAATAAACCCACGAATTTCATCAACTGAAATGCGAACTTGTACAAATTCATCACAAACAAATCTGAACTACTACTTTAGTTTATTTGCTCATATAAAGTAAACAAGTAAACAACAAAGAAACTAAAAAGAGGAGGGAATACAGTACTTACAGCAATGAAGGGAGATCGCCGCCGATCTAACAGAACTGATCGGAGATCGCCGCCTGATGGAGTCGTGGAGAGTAGGCTGGTGGAGAACTGGAGATTGGAGAAGGAAACTAGAGAGAGAAAATTAGGGTTATTTTTTTTATGTGGGTTGATTTCAGTTTTTAATATGGGCCGAAATGTGACTTTGTGAGTCTTGTAGAGTTGTACTCTTGTTAGGCTTGTATTAGGAATTTATTTTTTTTTAAAAATAAATTTATAAAACGGGTCTACGGATCCAGGTTCGGGTCTGGTAGTTAGACCCGGACCCAGATCCGTTTTTCCCAGCTGGACCCGGATTCGAACCGGATCCGTCGGGTCCAAAATTTAAGGACCCAGATCCGTGAAAAACGGATCTGGATCCACATATCCGGGTCGGGTCCAGATCCACTGCCATCCCTAGCTATGGGTCGATTTGGTGATCCTTGTGCTGGCTGCCAGTACACTGTTGAGCGTCGCTACTTCTTGGGGACATATGAGGCGGCAGTGTACCTAGGAAAGAGAGTTGCTATTCAGCACTCCTAAGAGATTCTTATCGTCCCTGCTCCTTTGCCACGCCATATGTTTAATGACGCGAGGCTGCTCAGCTTGTTTGAGAGGTCGCCTGCTGGTACCCCTTGGCGATCTCATGCTATCCAAAGGCAGTGCTACGAGGAGGATCTGCTGTCGTTGTTAGCTCCGGCCCATGTTCTGTCTGAGGAGGCAGCCGTATGATTTTTATCTTTTACCTTTTGCTAAGTAGCCCCCAAGTGACATTTTATTCAATTTGGTTTGCTTTTTGCCAGACCGAGCCTACAGAGTTTGTTCCCCCTCGTATGTCCATCCACTATCATGGGAAATACGGGCCTATTGAGGAGATGATCCCTCCGGCTCTCGAGGATTAGCGCTTTGTTGAGCGATCTGGTCCTTGCCATTAAACTCGGGTGAGTTATTTACTTGTTATTTGTTCATATCTGTCTTGTACTGTTACTGATTTTATTTCTTTGATAGTTCTCGGCGAGGTGGTTACGGCGATTGAGAGGTGCATAAACGCCTTTCGGAGCTAGCTCGTGCGGATGAGGAACGTGGCTTCCTATCGTCGTAATGACGCTGTTAAAGAGGTATCTTTTTCTATTTATTTCTGCATTGTTTATATTTCTATTTTCATTGCTTCTAACTTGATTTCTTCTTGCAAGGACAGCCTATTCCTTCCCATACCCGGACGAAACCTGAGGTTCGGAGAGAGCCGGCTAGGTCTAGCTCGAGGCGTCGTCGCACAACTTCTGGTGGTCAAGGTGGCCAATTTGATGTTGCCTGGACCGAGGCGGTGGAGGGTTCGGGCTCTTCATCTAAGAGTGCACATGCTGGGCCGATAGGCCAGGGAGAGGCAACTTTAGCTCCGAGAGGTGATGGGACGTACGAGGTCGGCTCATCGTCACAGCAGCCTTCGCCGCCTCAGCCTCTGCTGATTCATCACCACGACGACCTTGGGTGGTCGGGTCCTAAGTTGAGTTTCCCTCCTCCTGGAGAGACCGGAGCTGATGGGGAGCATACTTCTCATTCTGCGCAGTTCTTTTACATGATGAACATTCCTCATCATCTGCGTCCCCCTGGACCGTAGTTGTACATGTATTGTTATTTATTTTGAAATTTGTAGGACTTTGGCTGATTGACACATTTGTTAGTATATACAGAATTTTATCTATTATGATTGTATTATATTTATTTTTCATTTTTATGTGCATATGTGTGTGTGCAAAAAATTGTGATTTAATTTTGTGCAAAAATTTCCGTCATTTTTATTATTAATGGAGGGTATCCGACTTTCTCCTTCAAAAAGAAAAAATGAAAAATAAACTGGACTTAAAAAAAACCTAAATTTCATTAAGTTTGAATAAATCCACAATGGAAATAAAAGGAAAGTATATTAATATGTATGGATAGAAATGGTAAAATCGTAAAATCATTGTACAAATTCGAATCATAGCCAGAAAAACGCGATTTGCATAGCACATTTGAGGAAACGTTGCAGCGCCATGTGTTGCCACGCGTTTTGCGCTGTCGCCTAACGCTGTTGATGTCGCCAGGCGGCAGGGTTGTCATTTGGCGCTGTATTGCGCTGATTCCGAGTTCTTTCCGGAGTCTAACTTTATCGATTTTGTGCATAAATATTCCCCTGATCTGCCGAATTTCTGTATAATTCATACATATTAATCACAACCTTTGTTTCTCAACAAATAATCATGTCTTTAGTTACTAAGAGTTTTAGCATTTTTACTCATGAATGGTGTCGGTCTTTAACTGCTACAGAGAGAAAAGAACTCGACTTTTTTAACATGGGGGGTATTTATGGTGTTAAGGGGGTATATCTTGATATAGATTTTATCTATACCGCCTTAGAATATTGGGACACAGATACTCATTATTTTAGACTAGGGTGTGATGAAATTAGCCCTTTACTGGAAGAATTTGGTGCCATCTTAGGCTTCCCTTCATTAGATCTTGCAGTAATCCCTAGAATAAATGAATAATATTACAAATATTTTTAGCGCTACTTTAATTTAAGAGACAGAGATCTAACAAATATTGTAGATGGTAGTGTAGTTAATTTAAAAGAATTTGCACGCCATTACTTTGATAGACCTTATTCTGAATCTTTTCATGTTTATAGAAGAAGGGCTTTTCTCTTTTGTCTGCTTAACCAATATCTTCTCGCTAGTAGTATAACTAATGAGGGTCAAGCAATTTTATTAATTGTTTTGGAGCAAATTGCATCTGGAAGAAATCCAATGCCATTAATTGTTGGATAGACTATGCTTAGTCTTGAAGAATTGAAGAGAAATCCAAAAGCACATTTCGAGGCTCTTCAATTTAAGTATAGGTAGATAAATATTATTTTTAATTACAGAAATCAAAAACATATTTTTGTATAGTAATATTAATTTATTTGCATTGAAGTTTTTTGTAGATATGGCTAATTTTCCAGAAATTTTTCGAGTGTGGTAGTCGAAAATTTTCCAAAAATCACTGAGAGTTGCCCAGATAGTTTATTAAGAGCAGCGTGGCTGTTTTGCGGCTGTCGCCAGACTTTTCTCTCTGTCGGCCAGCGACATGCACTGTCGCCTTGCGCTGCACTCTATCGGCTGCCGATAGACTTCTTTTTGTGGCGCTACTATTCCGTCGAATTTCTTTTTATTCCTGGGATGTGAGGTTTGCGAAAATTAAAGTGGCCGCACCATGTAAAGGGTTGCCTACGTATCCTTTACTAAGGAATCAGGCCAAACGTAGCTCTCTTAAGTGTCCTACTCAAGCAATTATGGGTAGTACTTTTTAAGCTGGTCAAGGTTTGTCATATTTGAGAACTCATTGTCATCCATGTCAGTTAGTTTTGCTGTACCTTATGATATGATGGTTTTGACAATGTAGGGTCCGGAACAATTAGGCCTATATTTTACTCTTGGATCCTAAACATTTTTCCTTAATTTTTTTAACACCAAGTCTCCTACGTTGATGTTTCTTGTCTTGACCTTCTTATTAAAAATTCCTAACCATATGGGTTTGATAGCATTGGGTATGATGTATAGCTTCTAGTCGCTTTTCATCAAGTAGAATTAGCTCTTCATACTTTTCTCTAATCCATTCGACTTCATCAAGTTTACTTTCTAGTGCAATGCGTAAAGATGGTATCTCTAGCTCTACAGGTTGCACGACATCCATTCGATAAACTAAGGAGAATGACGTATTTCCTGTTGATGTGCGGATTGATGTACGATAATCCCAAAGTGTGAAATGGAGTTTGTCAGGCCTATTCTTGTAAATTTCTGTCATTTTCTCAATAATGTCTTTAGATTTTTGTTAGCTGCCTCAACTGCTCTGTTTGCTTGAGGTCTATAAGGGGAAGAATGATGGTGTTGAATGCCATATTTTTGTAGCAAATCTTCACATTCAGCTTGAAAGTGAATTCCATTATCGCTTATCATCTCATGTAGGACTCCGTATCGACAAATAATATTCCTTTCGATAAAGAGTGCTACATGTTTTGCAGTGAGTTTAGCATATGATTGTGTTTCAACACACTTTGTGAAGTAATCAATTGCTACTATGATGTATTCGTGACCTCCTGTCCCAGGAGGGGTAATTTTACCAATAATGTCAATTCCCCATGTAGAGAATGGCCATGGTGAAGTGTAGGTGTAAAGTAGAGATGGGGGAACGTGTTGTAAATTGGAATAAATTTGGCATTTAGAGCAACTTTTTACATATTGATGACAACCCCTATTCATGGTAGTCCAATAGTACCCTTCTCGCATTATCTTTTGGACTAGCATTTTTCCATTAACATGGGTTCCACAAATGCCTTCGTGGACTATCCTCGTATCTCTTTGGGAATCCTTTTTCCCTAGACATAAGAGAGCTAGTGTAACACCCCGTATTTTCTAACCACCATTTTATGTGCATTTAAATCTATTAAACCTAATTTCTTATTTAAATCAAATTTTGAAAGTGAAATATTTTTTTAATTATTAAAATCGTTATTTTGATTTAAGGTTCATTATAAAATTTTGAAAACCTTAATTATAATATAAAGCAATTGAAAATTATTATTTAAAAAGGTTTTTTACTTAAGTTTTAATCATTTCAACTATATTTGACATGTCTTAATTGATATTAGCCTTAAAGGGTGATTCCTTAAGCTTAAGCATCAATTCAATAAGTGTTTCTAAATTATATGTAATTTCAATATTTAACTTATATCAATTTATACGGGTCATCATGGGTGATTCCTTGACTGAAGTGCCAATTTGATAGGTATAAAATGATTCTATGATTTTAAAGACGTTTTACGTTCAATGGTATCAATATCGATATGTAAAGTGATATTGGGTGATTCCGTCAACTTGATTATTGAATTGATATTGTTTACAAACTATTCTTTAATTTATATTTATAAAACTCATTATAATGTCCTTTTATTAATTAGGTCATTATAAATGAATAATATTATTGGTTTCGCATATCGCATCTTTATATTGAATTTAAGTAAAATATGAACTTTATATATATATATTTTTTCTCGTGATTTAAATTATTTTTTTCATTATTATTATTGTAATTACTATTTGTATTATTCTTAAGGTATCAATAATATAATCTATATTATTGTTTTTTTAAAACATACTTTCAAATCGCCTAACGTTACATTCCTTTCCTA